CCCACCTAGACCTGCACTAGCAACTTTGATGATTCGCGCGTCTAAGACCGGCCACTTCCATGTCCAACAGCAACTGGGCGTCATCCGAAGGAAGGCCGCTCAGTGCTGGAGGTAGCACCGGGTATTTCCACAGATAGGCGACTGGGGTGAGGCCGAGCCGCAAGGCGACAGATTCCACGCGAGTACGCTGGTAAGTTGACAGTATTGCTCCGGCGCAGAGCGCATTGGCTTCAGGATGCCGGTCGATTATGGTGCGTAGAAGAGGTACCATACTCTCCGTTTCGTCGTCGACAGCCTGCCAGACATCATAGTCGCGACCCTCGCACTTAGCTCCACCGACTATAGGCTGACAGTAGAGAGGAAGCCCCGTGGCCTTGGCGTACAGAGGAATGATCTGGTGGCCTACAGTCTGATACATGAAACTGTTAAGGTCCTCGTCGTCGGTAGCAGAGTCCTGTTCGTCATGGCTGGTGTCAACTGCACCGTGGCTTCCCGATAGCAGCGTATCAGGTTTGACGATGCGAGTGCCGTTGGACGAGACCTCATGCTCCAATGGGGCTTGGCCGTCTGCAGACGGCTGCAGGTTCGCCAGAGCGATGATTTTGTGTCCGTTTGCGATGCAGTGCAAGGCTGAGAAGAAGCTGTCTTTACCCCCCGAAATGAGAGCAATGACGTTCAGCTGTTCGGATGCCATGCTAGCAATGTTGCGCTCTTGATCTAGTTTCAGTCGATCGTTTCATTAATTTCTTCTAGAGCGAAACAGGGTTTCGAGTGCGGTTTTCCGTCATGTTACGACTTTCCCGCAGGCCGAGGAGCACAGAAAACCCGATAACCATGGTAAGGAAGGTTAGGTAGGTTCCTCGCCCTGGTTTGGTGGAGAGGGGGCCATACAGTGCACAGTAATAAAGAGAACACGGCCAACCTCACGCTAGAAGTAGCGACCTCACTCATCCTTTCCCTCTCAATCCTATGGCACTAATTGGCGTCCTCCGATATCACCGCCTGACAGCCATTTTACATCCCCTTTCATCAAAACATCCCCTTTCATCAAAACATCAGCGCCTTCCATCAAAGCATTATTTCAAATTATCCGCCGCCGCCCAGGCCGTTCGAGACGACCACCAGCTCGCCATTTCTTGGACACAGAAATCTGCCGTCGTGCGTGATCATCGCCAGCTCCAAACATTCCATATTGATCCAATCTCGTGGCAGGAAAAAGTGCTTCCTGATCTTGACATTTCCCGCGTCAGCGCTCAGATACCATGTGCATAGCCAAAAGTCTCGGTCAAGGAACGCCATGGAAACTCGCGCCATCCAGATTCCGCGGCACACCCAATGTCTTCTTCAAGCCAACATGATCAGCCACGAAACCCAAAGGAACCTCGATCTCACGCAGGATTTGCTGAGGTAACGGCGTTGCGGAGACATTGTTCACAGGTGAAGCTAGAC